AGCCCTTCTCTCTCTACGCAAGAGTGTTAATGTGTGAAGAAATGAAAATTATATGATAGTTCCTGTTACCTGCCTTAGAATCATTTCTTATTAAAAATAAATTCTTAAGATTGTTTCTAAGTTTTGAAAGACTATAGCAGAGACAAGCATGTCACCTTCCTTTCTAACAATGCCCATGTGTGGTTACATTTATTTCTCATGAGTAACCAGCAAGCATCCTTGAGAACATCTTGCAGGAAAAAAATTCTGGGCAAATCATGACTGTTTTACGTATAGAGGGGTAGGACATAACTTGATGTTGTACCTGTGGATATTTCTGGGTAACTCATCTTGAGTTAGTCTTGCTGAAGCTTAGTAAACTATATTGGCTATTTTAGAAATGAATGAGATTGTTTTGAGGAAAACCCAAGTTAGAGGTTTCTAGCGCCAAAATTGAGACATTACTTTATATGGCAGTTGTTTCTTCTGCTTATACCCTCCTCTCCTTTCACTTGTCTAACTGGTAGGCATACTTCAGAACTTACCTCCTCTAGGAAATCTGTTATTACCTTACCCTGCCACCAGACTGACTGAATACTCCTCCTTTGTGCTAGTGGAATTTTTTAAGTTTTTTTAAGTTAGAAAAAAAAAAAACAGTCAACAATATTGTCTAGTACTTTAGAGTTCCTAAAGCTGTCTCATTCTAATACAGACTGTGAGGAAGCTAGAGCTCCATGTCATTTATAGGTAATCTGTTAACTCATTGATGCTCACAACAGTTCCTTGAAGAAGGTAGTATGATCCACATTTTATAGACTAGAAACTGAGGTACCTCTGGAGAGGTTAAGAAGCTTTCCAAAGTCACACAGGGTAAGTTATAGAGCCTAGATTTGAACCCAAGGATTCTGACTTTAGAGACCAAGTTCTTAATCTTTATGTTCTACTGCCTCTGCTTAGAAGATTTTGTAGAGCTGACAGTTGTCTCTTTCCTTTCCATCATTGAGTTGAGACTTACCTTGCCATGGGGCCTGAGTTCAACTCTACCTCCCCACCCAAGCCTCTTCCCTTGACTGCCAGGCAGATCTGTTTACATAATGCCAATCTTCTCAATTAAAGTTTAAAGTTCTTAAAAACTGTCTTAGTATTCACCCTCCTCTCTCCTCTTACTCATGGGGAGGAGAGCAAAAGAGGAAGATTCCAATAGTTTTTACTTTAATGTTTGATTTTTTTTCCCTTCATTCATCAATTTTCAGAATACTGAATTGGTGTCCTAGAAACCTCCAGTGGTAACTAATGAAGTTTTTCTTTTTAATATTAATATCTGAAGTGTTTTAATCCATTGCCATCATTCTTTTTGATGCATAGTCTGCTCCATTTAAGGCCAATGGGAGGCTTTTCTGTTGCTCCCTGTATCCTTTTGACATACCCCATTATTAGTCTTGGGTAGTACAAGACTCATCTTGTATACATTCTGCCTCAAACCTGAAATCAACCATTTCTCTTAGGAGTCCTGGCTCCTGTTCATAGGAAATGGTATTTTTAGAGTACACTGTCTGAGCCCTTCTACCTTCTAGTATTCCTGATCAAGACAAACATTGAACTTCTCTGATATATTAGTAAGAGTCTTCTCTCCTACTATTTTTTAACCCATTGCTATTTTTGTAGATAGCAAGCTGCCTTGTTCAGAGTTTTAAATACCTATCATTTTTCAAACCCTCAGATTTTCATCAGCAACTCTGTCTGTTATCTTACTGAGCACTACAGTTACTAAGAGCCATAGTTTCTACTTTGTTTTTGTTGCTATTGTTTCTGTTGGTGGTGTTGTTTTATATATATATATATATATATTTTTAATTCAAGTATGGTTGATTTACAATATTAGTTTCAAGTGTACAACATAGTGATTCAATATTTTTGTAGATTATACTCCATTTAAAATTATAAAATATTGGCTATGTTCCCATAGTCTCTACTTTGAAGTGCTTATTTGCCTGATTTTTTCCCCGTTATATTTTCAGGTAGACTAACAGATAAAGAACATTGAATAGATTAAGAGTGCTATATGGTTATGAACATCTCCTTTGTGTTGTTAGGCTCACTAGTAAAAGAATACTGTAGATGTAATGAATCTGAAATTTCAGATTTCATGTGAGGAGTATAACATGATATCCTTATGTATAAGATAGAGAAATGTCTGGCCTAATTAACAGACAAAACTAGTTGAACAACTGTTTCCGGCTGGTTAATTTGCTTAAGTCAGATTAAGAAGGGGCTCCAACAGCTTGCCTGAGGCCACATTCTGTTGAATATTGTTTTAAGGTTGGAAATGAAAATGATCTAATATCGACCATACAATATTAGAGAAAAGGAGGAGGAGTGAGAAATAACTAATATACTGGGTGGCAGGACCGGATCCCCAAAGAGTTCCATAGACCAGAATGACACAGAATTTCTTATATAAAGATAAATTTGATCAAAGGCAAGTGTAAAGTCCTACCATTGGGTTTAGAAATCCTACCCTTCCCAAGAATGGAATAAGAAAGACATGCGTTCATGTTATATGTGATAAATACTTCAGGATTTAGATGTCTGTGAACCAGATGTGAATTAAATGTAGGGGGGGATTGGAAATACATCAGTCTCAAAATCAGAAAGTCTTGAATTCTAATTTCAATTCCACTCCTGATTATATAACCAATTAAATTTCCTTACCTCTTTAAGCTTCATTTTTTTCCCATTATAAAATGTGTAGCATTTTTATAGCATAGCATCGATAATTATAAAATACTATGTATATACTGGTGTTGATAGCTGCAGATACATAAACAAAACTAATTGAGTCTTAAATTGAGAAAATCAAACCATTTAGTTCTGGATACTTTGTTTTTCAAGAAATTTTGATACTATATGATTAAGAATAAGAAATAGGAGAAGAAAAATTCACAGTTAGGAACCCCACTTATCTTTAAATCTCTGAATGATTGGTATATGAACTAGGCTAAGTTATACATCTGTTTTTTGCCCGTGAGCACGTAACTCAGGGCAATGAGGAAAGCTTCAGGTTAATAGACTTTGGCTCAGTGTAAAGAAAAGCTTTTGAACCATTAAAACTATCTAAAACGGAATGAATGGAATGAAGTACCTTACTGAGTCACTGGATATGTGCAAGTAGAGTTCCAACCCCTTGTCTTGGAATATCGTAGAGGGAGTTCATTTCATGCCTCAGATAAAGGTCTGTTGGAGCCAATTTCTGAGGCCCTTCCTTAACTCTTTAGATTCTTGATTCTGTAATATGGGGATAAAGATACCTCTCACAGTCATTGAGATGAATAAGACAGTAAAAACTTCTTGAACATTGCATGGTACACGATTGGTACTTACCAAATTTTCTTTGCCGTATCTATAAGATAAAAATAATCCATGCCCTGGTCTTGGTACAAGTGAGATAATGAATGTAAACATACTTTAAATACCCTTCAAGTCCTTTATAAGAATCAGAGGTGCAGAAATCTCTATCTGACATCTGGACAAGTACCATTTGGGACAGTTTGCTTCTTTCTGTTTGTTCATTTACAAAGGGAGACCTTGGCTTTTTTTTAGCTGTGTGTGTGTGTGTGTGTGTGTGTGTGTGTGTGTTTCCCAAGGGAAGGGCCTGACTTACCTGCGTAGAATGGATAGATTTGCCTTGCCGTGGCCACAGAATATGTTGGTTAGGTACATAGACTTTGGGGGTTCCAGCCCTAGTTCCCTTTCTTACTAGATGGGTGACTGTTGAAGAGTGATATTACCTCATGAGTTTCATGAGTTTCCTCAGCTGTAAAATAAGGGTACCTCAGTTAGGTTTGTTGTGATGATTCAGCACAATAACATGTGTTAGGTGCTTGGTACAGATCAGAATCTTTGCAGGAGGGTTCTTTTTTCCTTTTTGTTTTTTTAATTGAGGTATATAGTTGATTTACAGTGTTCAGGTGTACAGCAGAGTGATTTGGTTATATACATATTTAGATTCTTTTCCATTATAGATTATTACAAGACAATGAATATAGTTCTCTGTGCTACACAGTAGGTCCTTGTTATCTATTTTATATATAGTAGTATGTATCTGTCAATCCCAGATTCCCACTTTATCCCTCCCTCCCTTTCCCTCCCTTTCCCCTTTGGTAACCAGAAGTTTGTTTTCTAAGTAATATAACATGATATTTGTCTTTCTCTGCTGGAGGTTTCTTGGACCCGCTACCAAGGTCTGACATAGTTCACCAAGGCGCTCTTTTTTGTCATATGCCTGTTCTTTGGCAGTTGATTGGTCCAAAGTGGAATTTGCTTGGTCCAAAGAGGAAGTGAAGAGCTATATTCCAGCCTGAATTTCTGTTTTGACTAATTTGTTGCTAGACAGTGAGTTCCCTGACTATGGGGATTATGATGATTTATTTCTGAATACCCAATACCTAGTACAGGGCCTGGACACAGAGTAGATGTTCTGCTGGAATGTAAGCTTCACCAGGGTCTTTTATTCATTGCTGTATCCATGCCTTACAACAGTGCCTAGAAGAGAATAGTTGCTCAGTATATATCTGTTGGATGTGTGGATGGCTTGGCTGGGCATGGAAGCTTCTTCGCTTGTTAATAATTATAACTATCATTTATTGGGTATATACCATATGCTGGGCACTTACATACATGATAAGTAATCCTTACCACCTTCCTACAGGGTAGAAGTGATGGGCTGTTGCTAAAGAAGGTAAGGGAGAAGGAGGAGTCAAAGATACCTTCCAGGTTTCTGACTTGGTTACTGGTCCAAGTGATGGTGAAACTCAGAGGAAAGAATGTGAGTTCTTTTTTTAGTTAGGCTATGTTTACGGTATCTACAGGTAGATGCAGGAGTCTGCTCCTACAACAAGGGCTTTAAAGATGCCACCTCTTTGCCAGTTAGCCTGGAGAGGGTAATGTTCTGGGTTGCTAATTTTAGATCTGCAGGGCTTAAAGCCATTATTTCCACTGTGTTCTAACTTGCATATGTTCAGTTTCTGTTCCAGATGATCGGGCTGAACAACGAACCTGTCTCATTTGTGGGGACCGCGCCACAGGCTTGCACTATGGAATCATCTCCTGTGAGGGGTGCAAAGGGTTTTTCAAGCGGAGCATTTGCAACAAGCGGGTATATCGGTGCAGTCGTGACAAGAACTGTGTCATGTCTCGGAAGCAGAGGAACAGGTGCCAGTACTGCCGCCTGCTCAAATGCCTCCAGATGGGGATGAACCGGAAGGGTGAGTGGTGCTTGCGGCTCTGCTACCCACGCTTCACCCATCACTTTATCTTTAGTGTCAGCCATTAAGCCTTGGAGTTATTCATTTCCCAAGCCTGCACTTGTACTGTGTACTCATAACCCAAAAATGAATCTGCCTACAGGGATCTCCCAGATTAGGTGGGAGAACAGACTGTTGAGATGTTAAGGATCCTGTGAGAATGAATGCACAGGGTCCATGTGACAAGACCCCAATTAACAATCAGGTACTAAGTAGGATTAATATACTCCACTAGTTCTTTTTTCAAGGCATGATGAAAGGAAGCAGGAATTTTATATGAAACGGCAGGAAGGCAGTAGGTCCCCTGAATGTGTTATCATTTTGTTTGGTATAAGCATGGCATACTTAGGTTGGGCATACCCAGAAATCTGCATCCAGGTTGGTGAAGAATTTGGGATTTATTGGGAAGTTTTCCAAGAGCAATTAGCCTAAGATGACATGAATAAACCAATATTCTAAGGGGGTTAATCCAGAGGGCAGCTTTGAAGAATGGATTGGGGTGGGGGAAGCAGAAAAAACCCCTAGAAAGTATTTAGAAGAGTCCACAAGAACGATATGAAGGATCTGAAGGAGAGGAGGAGGGGAAAGTAATGGCACAGATGGGGAGATGTGGGAGCAGCTCACCTGATAGGAGTTGGTGACATACTGAGTATTGGGCACTACCAGAGGTTGAAGCTGATAATTCGAATTAATAGTACATTAATTGGGGCTTCCCTGGTGGCACAGTGGTTGAGAGTCCGCCTGCCGATGCAGGGGACACAGGTTCGTGCCCCGGTCCAGGAAGATCCCACATGCCGTGGAGCGGCTGGGCCTGCGAGTCCGGAGCCTGTGCTCTGCAACGGGAGAGGCCACAACAGTGAGAGGCCCGTGAACCGCAAAAAAAAAAAAAAAAAAAA